GAATCCGCCTGCAACGCAGGAGACCCGGTTCAGTCCCTGGATCAGGAGGATCCCCTGAAGGAGGAAATGGCAACGCACTCCAGTATTCATGCCTGGAGAATCCCATGGACAGAGGAGCCTGATGGGCTATAGTCTATAGCGTTACAGAGTCAGATGTGAGTGAGCGACCTGGCGCGGTGCACACACAGGCGTACATGTAACCGAGAATCACTTTGTTGTAAAGCAGCATTGCAAATCAGTTATACCCCAAAAAAAGAAAGAAATGGTGTCATCACTGCTGTTTATTTGAGAATAGACTTTATATCAAATATTCCAGAGCCATTTGGGGTTCACAGCAGACCTGAGGGGTGGTGCAGGGAGTCCCCACATACCCCGCCCCCCTCAGGCACAGCCTCCCCGCCATCCACATCCCGTCAGAGGGGTGTGTGTGTTACAACCCATGAGTCTATATGGGCAAAGTGTGATCGCCCAGAGTCCACACTTCATATTAGGTCTGTCAAAACTAATTACACAAATCGTGGTATGTGTCCTAAACAGACGTCTGTGTTCTCAGACTGTGTGCCCGTTGCAGCAAACAGAGGGATCTGCCCCGGCACCCATCACTCACAGCACAAGCTCCAGGTCCTTCCAAGGCCGAGTGCTGAGGATTACCTGTTCCAAAATGTTAGAGAAGGAACACCTTCCCTGACCGACAGGGTAGGATTCTAGGGTCTCCACAATAACTCGCCCATGTGTTTAAGTAAAATTAGATTTGCCTTCAGGGGAAGCAGGGAACGTTGAGGATAAACCCCAGACAAATGAGGCTCTGTGACTTTCCATTCCCATCACCTGGCCTGGAGTCTGGGTAGTTAACTGAATTTAAATGTTAGTTGAATGTGTAGGTGTCTACATCAGGTTTCTTTCCTTCTCTTGATTTTGGGTTCAGTCACCTGTGCGTGCGTGCATGCTAAGTCACTTCATTTGCGCCCGACTCTTTGTGACCCTATGGACTAGGGCCCTCCAGGCTCCTCTGTCCAAGGGATTATCCAGGCAAGAATACTGGGGCGGGTCACCATGCCCTCCTCCAGGGGAGCTTTCTGACCCAGGGACCGAAACTGCGTCTCTTGCATCTGCTGCGCTGGCGCGTACCCATGTTAAAACGTGGTGCTGACTTGTGCTGGCTTCCACTTCCCACACTCCTCGTTTTATTTACATAATTTATCAACCTTTCAGGATATGCCTTTACTGTAGGCATCTTGGGCCAGTCATAGAAATAGATGGGAATTAAGGTAAACCAGAGCGAAGGTACGTCTTGGATGGTGACTTTAGGCTGAATGCACTGCCTCTTAGCGGAGGCCAAGTTCGCAGCTGACTTTCAACCCTGACTGATGGTTCTCTGATCGCGCCCACTTGGTGCAGCTGACAGAGTTTTTCAGGAAAGTGTACTCCTCTCAGGCTCAGAGAGGCTCTGGTGAATGAGATCCCTGCACCCTGGTGCTGCGGGCGCACCCCCAGCATCTTCACCACGCAGACGCTGCAGGTGAGGACTCGCCCCGAAATAAAGGTGGGGGACGGGGAGGGGGGCGCACGGGAATCTGTGCCAACGTGTTGGTGTACAGTCAGGGTGGAATCATCTCCAGAAAATAAACTTTATCAGAAATACGACTGAGGGCTACTTTTTTGGTAATGTTAAGGCACATTTCAGAGAAGACATTGAGCAGTGGTTGAGTGTCCTAAGAAATCATTTCAAGGAAACTGACAAAGTGAAAGTGGATGAGGGGAGAGGAGAAGGGGGGAAGTGGCCCTCAAGGCCAGCCCTGTCCCTCCCGAGAGTGATAGCGGAGTGCCTTGGTTGTCAAGCCCCTGGGAGTCCAAAGGAGTCCCGTCATGGCAATTACATCTCAATAACACCAAGAAAGGAGAAAGGAGGCTGGTCCACTCCCGAGCTCCTCATGGCGGGTTTCCAGGTGATGCTAAGGGGAGCCCGGGAGAAGGATGGGGAGTGTCCCAGGAGGTGATATCTCTGAACTTGTACCCACAGAACCTCTGGAGCTTGGACAAGCCAGCCTCCAGGGCAGCAGCAAGGACCAGAGGGAGAGAGGCTTAGGCTCTCAAATCTCCATCCACTTCCCCAAATAAAAATAAATAGAGCAGCATTCTAGCCATGGAAACAGAGCTCCAAGATACAACCCCAAGTTCTCCTGCTACCCAGAGGCCCTCCCTGAGCCCCAGCCTGGGAATTCAGGAGTAAGCCCAGACTGGACCACCCACTCCTCATGAGAGCCTGAGAAGCAGGAAGTTCGAAAGAAACTTCCATCACCCCCGAGTATCAACGCCATCGTCACAAAGGCGATGGGCCTTACGAACCCGCCGGTCACATGGTTGTCTCCACTCAAAACTGCTCTGCAAGCTCTAAATTTCCATTTATTTATGTTTGGTTTATGCCAAGGCCGTAATGGCAAGCTGCTACAGTTACTCGTTTGTAGCTACAGAGAATCCAATTTCATAAAAATTTGTTTAGCTAGCTAATTAATCCTGATCTTTTCATTAGAAAAGAAGCTAAACAATTTCCGGTTGACCGCAGTGGACACAGCACGCGAGCCTTTAGAATCTTACCGCCACGGTCTGTTATCAATGAACAATGACATTTTGGATGGAAAAATCAATTTTTCCCTCCACTCCTTTTAACCTCTTGAGCCATCTTCTTCGCTTCCCTGGACTCAGATAACATAACTCACCATGAAAGCCAGACAGAAACGGCCTTGGGCATGTCCACAGGAGACCCAAATCCATCTAATCAGCAGAAAGACCTGTATCCTCAGGCAAAGCCTGCTTTGCCCAGCGACCCAATCACACCTTTCAACTCTGCTTATTAATCCTTACATTTCCCCAGGAAAAGAAAGAAAAAAAAAAAACTGAGTTGTTTCTGTTAATAATGCAAGACGACATGAGTGCTAGGTGGGCAGTTCTGGAGAAAAGGGTTATGGCTCAATTAGATACCCAGCCTGTGCAGAGTGGGGCTACCCAAGTAGCCCTAGAAGAACCCGCCTGCCAATACAAGAGACATAAGAGGCGTGGGTTCAATCCCTGGGTGGGGAAGATCCCCTGGAGGAGGGCGTGGCAACCCACTCCAATATTCTTGTCTGGAGAATCCCATGGGCAGAGGAGCCTGGGGGGCCACAGCCCACGGGGTTGCAAAGAGTCAGACACGACTGAAGCGACTTAGCACGCACGAACTGTGCAGAGTGACTCGGGGGTGGGTGGCCCCTCTGCCCCGGAGAGGGGCCGGTTCCAGCCACGGGCGCTTTCTCTGCTGACACTGAAATACAAGGAGCCAGTGTACTCCTTGTCAGTGCAGGGTCAGGAAGGCTCGGCGGTCCACACCCGGGGATCCGCAGGGCTCTCAGGGACACTGCTCTGATGCCGCTGAGGACCAGTTGGCCTCTCCCAGCTCCTGAGTCCTGCAGACGGTCTCGGCTCCACCCCTCTGGGCATCTCCTGGGCGGAGAGCACCCAGGTCACACTCCCTTCTGGCTGAGCGAGGGGACAAAGGAGAGCACCTTCAGCACAGCCCGCCAGCATCCTTCCCGGCCCCTGGAGGCTGGCCGCCCCTTCCCCACCCCAGAGCACACCTTGCATGCCCCTCTCCATCTCATCATCTGCTCCCCGGGAACTCTGACCTGCAGCAGCTCAACCCTGAATCCCACCGTCCCCAAACGGACCCCCTGTCTTCTCTGTTTCCTCACGCTCGTCTGTGGACCAGGAATTCACACGGCATCTGCTCCGTACGGGGACGGTGAGGATGCAGGTACAGTGGTCGTGATGTTTTGGGTCCATCAAGAGTCGAGCTCTTCCAAGTTGTTGTTGTTGTTTGCTGTTTAGTCACTTACGTAGTCGTCTCTGACTCTTTGCAACCCCATGGACTGCAGCACGCCAGGCCTCCCTGTCCATCACCAACTCCCGGAGTTTGCTCAAACCCATGTGCATTGAGTGGGTGATGCCATCCAACCATCTCACCCTCTGCCATCCCTTTCTCCTCCCACCCTCAATCTTTCCCACCCTCAGGGTCTTTTCCAACGAGTCAGTTCTTCAAATCAGGGAGCTTCAGCTTCAGCATCAGTCCTTCCAATGAATCCTTTAGGATTGACTGGTTTGAGCTCCTTGATTTCCAGGAACCTCTCAAAATGCATCCGTTATTAACGACTGCATACACAGCCGGGTGACGGCTTGAGGGACTCATTGCTGTAAAGGGCTGGCTTCTCTCCCGGTTATGAGATGAGCATTTCATGCTCTGTCTTGTAAACCAGGATGCAAACTGTGTGTGCGAGCTTGTATGTGTTGTTTTGTTTAGGTGTCAGCAAGTGATGGCCGTGGAGAGCTCATGGTGATGGGAATAAGGTGATCTGACTTCACATTTTTAAAAGCCCTCCCTGGCAGCCCTCACCATCCAGCAGCCAGACAGGAGGTCAAATGGCTTGTCCAGTGACCCAGGTAAGAGCAGATGGCAGGAGGGACCAGGGTGGTCGTTGAGCAAAGAGCCAGACGTGGGATTAGGGCAGACAGGTTGGATACGCTGGACATGCTGGGCCAGGGCCAGAAGGACATGCTGATGGACAGGCTATGGGGTGCAGGAAAGAAGCAGCTTCTTGGCTTTTAGCTGAGCACTGGGGAGACAGTGCCCTGTTCATTTCAGAGGGGAGGCAGGGTGGGGGGGGGGGGTTGAGATGGAGGAGCTCTGTGATTCCCCTGGATGCTCAGGGTTTGGAATGCCCATCAGATACCCCACAGAGACATTGCAGACATCAGTGAGTGAGGCTGGGACACGGGGTGACACTTGGAGTCATCAGGTGGACGACGGTGCTTGGAGAGCTGTAACTAGACAGGAAGACGACCCAAGGATCATCCCAGTCGGGAGAAGCCAGTGGAATCGATTGGAAAGAGATGGCCAGTGAGCAGGAAGGGGCAACAGGAAAGGAAGCTGTTTCAGAACCCAAGGGCAGAGCGCTCCCATCTCCCGGCACGTGGGAGTTTGGCTGGGCCCGTCGCGGAGGCTGAAGAAGGGGGACGGAGGGGAGCACCCGTGTGTGGATTTGCAGAAGTAGGGGCCTCGGTGGGCTCGGCAGGAGCAGGCCACGGGGAGAGGGGAGGCGCACAGCCTCATCCTGGGGAACTCGGGCCGGAGAACGGAAGTGGAAAGCAAACCCCAGGTGATGTCAGTTTTGAAGATGTTTTGAACGAAGACACGGTAGATCTGAAACAGCGAGGTATTTATTTAAGTTTCAGAAGGGAGACATTAGAACACGTCTGCCTGCAGATGAAAATTATCCAGGAGAGAGAGAAAAATAAACAAACCAGATAACGCAGAAATAGGAAGAAAAAAAAAAAACCATTCATAGACGAACTGAGTCATGAGACAGAAGGCCAGCACAGGAGCCCTGTAGGAAGGGAGCCTCCATCCAGTCTCCACACAGGTCACAGGCCGGGTCCCAGGCTTGGGGCTCGGGGGCTGGGGTTAGGGGTCAGCAGGGAGGGCGGGTGCTGGGCTTCTGGAGGGAGCAGGTCGAAGTGGCCGCGTCCATGGAGCGGGAGTCCGTGAGGAGGCACACTCAGCGTGCCGGGCTCCCACGTCGGCGGGGTCACATGGTGGGAGCCCCAGGTTCTGGGGACCCCCACGGCAGCCTCGACCCCAATCACATTCTTCCTTGGTCCTCACGTGTCCCTGGTCGGGAGGCTAGATTTCCAGATGCAAGTGGGATCCCCGTAGGTCCGTACTCTTGCTGAGCGTCCCAAAGACGTCCAATCCCACCAGCCTCATGGGGTCCTGCAGACGATGGGAGTGAAGAGCAAAAACTGAGTGTCACTTTCCCCTCAACCTCTCCACCGGCCCCCACCCCGGCCCGCACCCACGGCACTCACTCGCTCCGCGCACAGAGCCTGTTGACATCCCAGGAGTTCGAGAACAAGATGCTCGCCTGGTGGGCTCTGGGACAAGCTCCGCAGACACGGGGTCCGGTCTGGGCCTGCCTGGACCAACCTGTCCTTGGGCTTGCTCATCCAAACTCCAGATGTCAGGAGGGCACCTCCATTTTCCCTGAAGGGTGACGTCCCAGGCGTGTGGTCCCTGGAAGTTCTGAGGCTTCCTGTGACCTTGGGGGGACGCGTCCTCTGTACCAACCCGCCCAGGAGGCAGAGCAGACAGGTGGAGGGGCCCGGGTCTCGGGCAGCACCGCTCCCAGACGCCCTGCCCTAGAGCACGATTCCAGGGAGAGGAAATGCCCCCGGCATCTCAGCTCATCTTCTGCTTGACCGTCTTCCTGTAGCAGAAAAAACATGCCAACTGGTGTGATGGCTGAGGCTCCTGTTGCAGCCTCGTTTCACCTGTTGGGAGGTAAAGTCGTCGTTGTTTGCCAGGATGCAGATCATGGCACAAACTGAGTCAGTGGAAGTCAGCATCTAAAACAGAAGATGATGGAGAATGGTGTGCTGCCTGGGCGATGGTAAGTGTATTTTTGTAAAATCTTTTTGAGTCATAAAGGTTTGTGCAAGCATGTATGTGTATGTGCACTTCATGCATTCAAATTTTGTACCATGGGGTTAGTCCGTGCTTTGTCCTGTAAGAAAGAAAAACAAGTGCAAGTCCACGGTTCTAAATGATGCCCGTGGTCTTGTCCTAATCTGAGATATCACGGAGGCAGTGAGTGATCACCGCAGGCAAAAGTCACAACCCAACCTGGACTCCAAAACCCACGGCAACGCACTTTCTATCTCTCAACTCATTTTTTGTTGTTACCGTTGAGCGAACTATAACCACAATGCCAATGATTAGAAAAATCCCACAGAGAAGTACTTTCGGAACGAATGCAGTGAGGGAGAGAAGTGGAAAAGACAAATGTGTTAAAGGAAATTATAATTAACTCGGCATCAAACATGACGTCCTAAAGCCATCAGCTCTGGCGTGTCTGTTGCCCTGTGGGGTCACTCCCAGCCCAGGACCACTGGTCACCTCTCTGCACCCACCGTGATGGCTGCATTCGCTTTAGAGGGTGACTGGGTGCTTGTTCTGAAGGGAACGGGGCCCCATCATATAAATAAGGGGCAGGAAAACGTTCTCCAAGCTGTCTAGTGATCCTGTGCCACTTAATCTTTTGCAAAAGTTCTTTTTAAAAAATTCACTTCATAGCCAAAACGTTAACTTTTATCATTTCAATTTAGAAACTGAAGAATGCCACTGGGGGCTTTTATCTGAGACATACGCCTACTAACACATTTCAGGATTGGGGGCAGAGGTGGCATGGCCACACTCACTGGGAGAATTCCACTACAGGTGGATGAAGACACCCTCAAGACACACCTCCAGTGGGGTCCAGATATGGTGGCCCCTGAGGAAGCTCACCCTCCGGTTTAAGTGTGTTTCCCGGAGGTCGCTTTTCACCTCCAAGTAGCATATGCAGTGGGAAGCTCTTTATTTTTCCTGTCCCAAAATCTCAGGAGAGGTGCTGCCCGTCCTGGCCCCAGCCCCGCATGATGTGCACCTGATTTCCGTGTGTCCTTCCCACTGGTCCACGCTCCCATCTGTGGTGGGCTGCTGCGGCGGACACGTGAGGACACGTTTTGCACCTTCCTGGGACTGCAGGGTAGCCGTCTGCCTGCTGCAAAGCCAGGCAGCTCCCAGACTCCCTGCCCAGCTGGGGGATCGGCGTGTTCCCCTGTCCGAGGCGGGGACAGAGGGCCCCCTCACCGGCCTCCTGGGGACGTGCAGGTGTCTACCTGCTTCTCCTTCTGAGGACAGTGGACTGTTCCATCCTGGGGACCATGGATGGTTCTGTGCAAGTGTCTGGCCTCGGGGGTAACAGACAAGGCTCCCAGCAGGGGCTGGACCCAAAAGCACTCAGGCGAAGCAGCCACCCTCACTCCGGGCATTGCGATGCCTTCTTGTGCATGGGCCCCTCTAACCCGAGAAAGGCTGGGCCTCTGCCCCCCAAGACTTCCATCTCTGCTCCCCGACCCATCCTAGGCACGCACCCCACTCCCACGCTGCCTGTTGTCTTCCCCCATTTGTTCTCAAGAGAATAAAAACCCACTTCAGTCTTCAGCCATCCCAGGGCTGACTCTAACCCACATTGAGATGAAGGGGGCTGCTGACACCTTCGCGGGCGGGTGGTTGGCTCGAAGGGCTTTGCTCCCCACAGCAGGAGGGGACCCCTGGGCTGTGAACAGGTCCATCACGGAGGGGAAGCCCCTGAGCAGAAGACTCAGGGTCGTTAGATTCGGTGGGACGGTCTCTGCTCCTTTCTCAGCTCTAACACCTGCGCGTCACGGAGCACTCAGCCATCACGCTCCTCTGGGGAAGGTCAGCCTCTTTCTCTCAAATGACGATACAGCAGAGGAGCCCCGCTCTGCGCCTCAGCACCTTTCACAGAACCGCAGACCCCCTCCTCACCCTGGAGTACTCTGAGCCAAAAGAACAGCAGCCTAGGAGATGTGAGTTTGGTTTGACGTGGAGATCTCATTCTCTACTAAGGACATTTGGAAATTTGGCAGTGAACTGCTGCCTGGAACACGGACAGCGACTAACCATCTAACCCGGACACCCCTGCAGAACCCCTGGGGATGGTTATCTGCTGCAGTTGAGGACTGGTGTGGGCCAAGCTCGCAGAGTGAAGAATGGCAGGTAAACCAGATCCCAGAGCACAGATGGGTCCACAGAAAAAATTCATCAGAAGGACCCACTGAGGTTTGGAGGAAACACTACATTCTCCCTTATGGTTGAAAGCTGTTTGCTACTGACAAGAGCCGAACCTGGAATCAGGGAGCTTTAGTCACCCCCAAACTTGGGTCCTTGGGGATCCTCCTGTGACAGGAAGCTGATCCTGACATACCCTTCACTGAAATATCACAAGATTATACACTCTTCAATGTCACCCTTGGGCTTCCAAGCTGGCTCAGATGGTACCTGCAATGTGGGAGACTTGGATTCCACCCCATGGGCCTGGAAGACCCCCTGGAGAAGGAAATAGTAGCTCACTCCAGTGTTCTTACCTGGGAAATCCCATGGACAGAGGGGCCTGGCGGGCTGCAGTCCACGGGGTTGCAAAGAGTCAGACACAACTCAGTGACTAAACACACACAGATGCTACCCTTAGGGTCAAAGACACATCGTCACAATAGTACCATCGGCCTCTCCCAAGTAAGACTACCTAAGCCTCACTATTGATTGACAGGGAACTTTCATTGATAGGAAGGAGCAATTAATCTCTATCTGAATTGAGGAATGGCTCATCTTTCATTTGCCATGGTGTATTATTTTTTTAAAAATTCATAAAGCTTCAATATTCAGTTCCTATTCTGTTTTGAGGACACCCATCTTGGACACATCCCTAAAGACGAGAAAGAAATAGCTCTTCCTTTTTCTGTAGGGACCTGAGTTTAGCATCAGATGTGAAAATCATGACACGCAATTTCTGCTGGAGAGATAAAAGCCGAACCACATGCCGAATGGTATTCACGGCAGATGTGATCTTCAGAGGGGCCGTGGCATTTCCTGAGAATCTGGGGATGTGCTTCTCTGACGTGGAAGTCAGCATGATGAGCAACAAAACTATGCTTTCTTCCCCTGCCTTAACATGGTCTCAATATCGGCGGCTATCGGCCACTTGGATTCTTCAAACCAAGTGTTACCCTGCCCCACGTACAGACGCTGCCCCAATGCCCTGGGAGTCTGCCCATACAGACAGCCGTTCATAAGTCCCCAGACCCCTGTGCTAAAAATAAGTGCACGGGGTATATGCCTTTCCTCTGGACTTCACCCAACTATGTACACGTAGTTACCTACATTCCTCCATGTGCATAAATAACTGGTGTTCTCTGCTGGCTCCTCTGGTTTTCAGCCCTGGGACGACTTTTCTTCCTGCCAACGCCCCCCTGCACATAGCTGTCTGCCCCCAGACACCCGTTAATTGACTGCAAACACAACTTTATTGCAAAATGACTGCAGCTTTATTAAGCAACTGGATTTACAGGCAATAACATAATCAATATAACATTAATATAGCACATAATTAAATAAGATTTCCACAAGGTCCTGCCTGTATCCTGAAATATACAAAAGTTAATTGTTTTCACGAAGGCATGAACCAGAAAGGCTGGAAACCACACTTGGAGGAACAGAGTCCCCAGTTGTTCTTGTTCTTAAAGCATCTCATCGGTTACACAGAGGGAGCAATCCGAAAGCCACAGGAATGCTGTATCTCCGAAAATTCCCCGAAGACCCCCCTCCCAGGCCCTAGGGGCGGGGGACACAGCCCTCACGCCACCAATTAATGCTCTCTTGATGGACTAAGACGCTAAAGGCAAGTAGCAAATTGCATTTAATGCATTCTCGCCACCAGCAGAAAGAGGCCTACCACCGCAGGCACTTGGAAAGTTACCATAGAATGTGCCGCGTCTGCTGAAAATGGCACGGCGGGGACTGGGCCCTCCCGGAAGGAGACCAGCCAACATGTCCCCAGAGTCCCGTGACGGTGTTTAAAACGCAGGGACACCCCCGCCTGCTCCTGCCCCCCCACCCAGCCCAGAAAGCCAAGTACTAGGGAGGGAGACGCGATGGGGGCGCACAGGGCGGGTGCGGCCGTGGACCCTTCAAGAGAGAAACCCCACGGATGAGGAGACGTCCGCAGGAAGGGGCTTGCTAACTGGCTGACTGCGCACACCCCTCCCGGAGCTCAGCCTCCCCGGGGAGCCCTGCCTCCCGCTCTCCCTCCAGTACCTTGGAACTGGCCGCTGGAACATTCCAATCCCTGCGTGAGCCCGAGCCCCTTCACCAGAACCGAGTGTCTGGTTCTAAGCGAAGTGGCCGAAGTCGTGGGTAGCTCTGGGGCGTTCTTAAGCCCCTAGGCACAAGGAGCTACTCCACGTGCTGGGGCGCCTCACGGCCAGGACGCCCCGCTTACAGGGAGGGGCGGCCCCGTGGGAAGGGCCCTCTGCGGAGACGGCCTCGGTCCAGAGGCCCCCAGAGGCCAGCACAGGCTGTCTCGCAGGGAACGGGGCACTCGGGACACGCTTAGGTCAGAAGTCCAGGATCCAGCGGGAAACAGGGTCAACGCTCCTAGCGGGCAAATTCCAACAGGTCCTGGTAAATTCTCCGTGAGGGTCTCCCTGTTTCAGGGCAGAGGAGGAGGCCGTCCGCTTGGGGAGACCTGGAAGCTGGGGTGAGCTGGCCGGGCCCTGCGGGGGGGAGGCGCCTGCACCCCGGTCGGCGTGCCCCTCCTCTGTCCCTGCAGGACCCCCGCTTCTTGTCCCTCAACACCCGCTGGCCACCACGGTCCCCTCGCTGGGAACATCTTCCTTTTCTCCATCCACAGCCAGACTTGTGGGTCCTTAGAAAGTTCTCTTCAACCTGCCGGGGCTAACTTTTCTACCTGCAAATGAAGGATCTTTGTGCCCGAGAGAGCCTATGAGTCTTACGAACGTGAGCCAAACCCAGCTGGGGCTGCGAAGCGCTCTCCAGGCAGACAGAGCTCCACCTCAGATAATCCGGGTCAAGGGACAGGCAACCCCTCTCTGCCAGGGTTCACCTCCCCATGCCAGCCCTCCACACACGCGTGCACACAGAGGCACAAGTGCACACACACGGCATGCACAGTTTAGTAACGGAACTGTGAACACCTCAAATTCACGTCCCGTCTGGAAAGGCGGCTGCAGCCCTCGCCTCGCAGACTGCGTCACCGTCATGACCGGGTGGGTGAGCCTCTCCCTGGTGGGCTCACCGTCGCCTGCCCCTCCCAGGAACGCAGGCATGCACCTCCAGGCTTTCTGCACCCCTCTGCTCCCACCATGCCCCGAACCAGGCCACGGACTTTCAGGGACTCTCTTCTTGGTGTTAAGACACCTGGGAAGTTTGGGAGGGGGCAGACAAAGAGACAGGGAGAGGGGAACATGGAGGAGGAGAGGGAGGAGGGAGGAGGGGGAAGGCGGGAGGGAGGAGGGACAGGGAGGAGGGAGACGGGAGGAAAGAGGGAGGAGGGGGAGGGGAGGAGGGAGGGGGAGGGGGAGGAGGGGGAATGGAGGGAGGGAGGAGGGACAGGGAGGAGGGGGAAGGGAGGAGGGGGAGGAGGGACAGGGAGGAGGGGGAAGGCGGGAGGGAGGAGGGACAGGGAGGAGGGAGACGGGAGGAAAGAGGGAGGAGGGGGAGGGGAGGAGGGAGGGGGAGGGGGAGGAGGGACAGGGAGGAGGGGGAAGGCGGGAGGGAGGAGGGACAGGGAGGAGGGGGACGGGAGGAAAGAGGGAGGAGCGGGAAGGGAGGAGGGGGAAGGGAGGAGGGAGGGGGAGGGGGAGGAGGGGGAAGGGAGGAGGGGGAAGGCGGAAGGGGGAGGGGGGGGAGGAGCACAGGATCTTCGTGTGCAGGGCAGGCAACCAGGATAACCGGCAGGATGGGCTGCACCCCGAGAATTCAGAACCGCAGTCACCCTGGTTTACACAGAACACAAATGTCTGCATCCATGGAAAACCAGGTCCTCTTCCCACAGACAGAGTGTGGGAAATAACATGCCAGCTTGTCGTATTTGGGCATAAAAAGACACTAAGAAAAATAGCCTCGCCTCCCGATGACAGAAAAATGACAACCAGATTCTAAAATGCATCAGCTCCAGGACGGACAGGCTCCATCCCCAGGGCTGAGCAAAGGATCTGGGGGTGACAGAGGTCTCTGATGGAACGGGGAAGTTCCGCCACGTGGCAGCACCCATCACGCAAGGATTCCCAAATGCGGGGCTCTGACTGCCAAAAACCTCAGAGACAGCAGGGCCGGGGACGCAGGGCACACGGAAGGAGCCTGGAAACCTCTCCTGTCCTGTCCTGTCCCGGCAGTCCAGCGTCTCGGGAACCCTGGGCTGCTGGGGCGATTCCTGACCCCAGGCCCCCACCCCTAAAATTAAGAAAATAATAATCACATGTAAATTACAAACACTGCCCGCAGTCAGCAGTCATTCCCTAAGTGTCAGGAATCATTTAGTCCCTCAGTCATGTCTGACTCTTCAGACCCTCTCAACCATAGTCTGCCAGGCTCCCCTGTCCATGGGATTCTCCAGGCCAGAATACTGGAGTGGGTAGCCTTTCCCTTCTCCAGGGGATCGTCCCAACTCAGGGATCAAACCTGTGTCTTCTGCATTGCAGGCAGATTCTTAACCACTGAGCCAGGGAACTCCAAGCATCAGGAATTAATGATCATCCTAATTTAAGCCAAGAAGACCGTATGGGTATCCGTGAGCTCTCATCTGAAATCCACCACGTCCCCTCACTTTGCGCACGCGTGTGCATGTGGCTCACACGCACAGACCGAAGGGCACCCTGGAGCCCCCCTCGAGGCTGTGTGGTGGGGAGGTGGGTGTTAACTACCCAAGACGCGAATCGCGTTTACCATCCCACGGGGCCGCAGCTCACTGGCTCCTGGCGCATCAAAATGAAGGTGACATCAGCAAGGTTTCTTCCATCAGTGGACGTGCAGAGAGCATCTTCTGTAGCTCAGCCGCAGGGGACGGTCACCCCTAACAGGTCGGCAGTGACAGCGACCTGCCCTGAGGTCTCCTCACCCCTCCTTCCAAGACCACATGTTCCTAACACGGGAAAGGCATCGTTACGGGTCAGATCCTCCCCGAGACGTGGAAGACGTGTGGCGATACCTGCGGTGTGATGAGCAGGAGTTGTGCAACTCTGCGAAGATGGAGTTGCTGTCAGAGGGAAGAGACGCTGCAGGAGGGTTTTTAAAGCCCAGAGGGATGCCTGCACATCAAAAGCTCTCCAAAATGAGCAGTTGACTCTGATCATTGCAAATAGATCAGAAACATGTGTATCGAGTCCATCCCCTTAAAATGATGGCTGGGTGTTCCCAAATGCACAGCATTTGGACACCTCAAACTTTCTAAAAATATTTCTAAAAATATTTGGGGTTCAAAGTAAGCCTTTTAGGGAAAACCAAAGCCACATGTTTCTGATCCGTTTATACTTAGCTTATCAAAATGTTGTTTGTTTTTTAACAGATATTCTATGTCTGGTAAGGTTTGGGGGTCTTTCTTATGATTTAATTTTTCTTTCTTAGAAATGGGAAGCAGTATTTCCCAGGAGAAAACAACTTCAGTCCTTAAAAGCGAGGCTGGTTTCAAATTTGGCTGAGAAATTCTTTCCTATCCTTATATTTAGGTGTGGATAAGAAGGGAGGGAAAACAATGCAGGAGACATAAGAGATGCAGGCTCAAACCCTGGGTCGGGAAGCTCCCCCAGAGAAGGAAAAGGCGACCCACTCCAGTATTCTTGCTTGGGAAATCCCATGGACGGAGGAGCCTGGTGGGCTCCAGTCTAAATGGTCGCAAAGACCTGGACACGGCTGAAGGGCTGGACATGACACAGCCCACGGCGAGAAGGGAGGGAAAGCATGCGGGCAAGTGGGTGCTGGGACTCAAGACTCTTGCCCTGAAGGGGGTGCTGTACTTGGCTCCCTGCCCTGAGGGTGGAAGCCAGCTGTGGGCAGCACCCAGCTTTCCCCGGATGACGCTGCCCACAGTGGTTCGTCCCTCCTGGAGCTGGAGGAACTGGGACAACAGTTTCCCATCAGGCGCCCACAGCCTGGCTGTTCACCAGAGGAGACAGCCTCACCCCTGCATCCATTCGGCTACAACTGGAGCAACGGTCGTCTACTTTTTGATTCTCGACCGCATGAAGGGTGAAAGAGAAAACGCCGTGCACCTGTACGGGTCGATGTCGGGCACGGAGAAGCCGCGACCCTTGGAAGTGGGGGGAGATCCTGGAAGGACGCGTCTGGAGAGGCTGCTGGTGTGACCTGCCGGGGACGGGCAACATTTCACCACTTCCTTTTTTACTCCCGGGAGTTGATGCATGTCCCCACTGGCCATGGGCTCGGCAGGATGTCAGGGAAGGTCTGCTGTCCCCGGGCAGCTCGGTACAGCTGCAGCGAGGTGTGTGGGACCCCCGGGCCAGCCCAGAGGCAAAGCTCGCACCGTGCGACGCCCCCGCCCGGCCCCCGGAAAACGCAGACGACTCTGCCCACCGAAAACGGGTCTGTGTGCCCCTGCAGAGCTTAGACCCTTCCAGCTTAGGGTCACCGAGGCAGGAGGGCGATGCTCCAGCCGATTCTTTAACGGGAAGGGATTCAGTGCAGCTTGGGATCCGCGTGATGGCTCCACCTGGCTTTCAGAATGACCCGGACTTAAAATGCAGAAGACCAGCTCCCCTGCCACCCCCACCCCCTGCTGAAACAGGAACTGGGGTGGGAGCTGCTGGGAAACATGCATCTGACCACTTTTTCCTAAGGGGAGGGGGGTGGGAGGGATCAGGACAGAGGATGGAGGGGGTGGTAACCGGGGGGAAACACGTGGGTCTGGGTTTTCATCTCTGAGTTAGCCTCTCTCAACCTCTCTGTCTGTCTGTCTCTCTCTCACATACACCCCACCCTGGGCTCTCACGGGTCCCACTCGCTGCCTCTGATCCCCGAGGTCACGCACTGGCTTCATCTGGATGCTGGGAAGTGACGTCCCCCTAGGCCCCGCCCCCGTAGCCTCATGCACAACCAGCAAAGGGTCCCCGGAGTGCCTCTCCGTTGGGGAGCCCCCACCCACCTGCCGCCCGTATGCGTTAGCTGTCAGTGAGACCTCAACACTCAGACAGATGTGGAGCCCAAGAGGGACTTCTAGGATCTCCCAGGGACAGGACCCTGCTAACCCAGCTGGGTACGTTCTAGAGGTGACGCTTCTGCAGAAACGCCTGAAGCATCCACAGGATCCCAGAGTCAGAGCAATCCGTTCTTCTGTGGAGGAAACCTATTTATCTTCCCTCCCAATCCTCAGCATTTTATGACCTTTATCAAGACATCATGCGATCTGCCTTCACCTCTGCTCTTGCTTTTTTTCCATAAATAAGTCGAGTCAGCTGTGGTCAATTTGACAGACTCCATGCTGACACAAAGCTGAGCATGAAAAGTGGACATCACACAGCCTCAAAAGGGAGGAAGAGGAGGATGAAGCTCCTCAAACTCTTCTAGAAAAGCCAGAGGACCTGGGGACTACACAGGCTTCCCAGGCAGTGCCTGTGGTAGAGAACCCGCGTGCCAATGCAGGAGACTTAGGAGATGCAGGTTTAACCCTGGGTCAGGAAGATCCCCTGGAGGAGGCACAGCAGTCCGTTCCAGCCTTCTCGCCTGGAGAATCCCACAGTCAGAGGGCCTGGCGGGCTGCAGTCCACGGGTCACAAAGAGTCGGACACGCCTGAGCAACGAAGCATGGGGAGCACACGTCCACCCTCACGTGGAGATCCGCGTAGGACTGCCAGCCATGACGTCCGGTGCCAAGGACAGAAGACACCACGGACAAGTCCTACCGGGGCACGAAGTGCTCTTAAAGTCTCCTTTAAATGCTCTAAGTGGGGGGAGTCGTTTGCAACCTCATCAGAACGTAGGGATCAATCCGTGTGATGGAAGAGGATTAATGTACATCTGAGCTTGGGGAGCAGCACTGGGGACATACGAGAAAGGTCTGGGCCCACGGCTTGGTCACACGTGAAGTGCACACACATGCGAAGATGGGGCACACACACGGCCGATCCACCCAGGGCTGCGGAGGCCCCTCTGGGCTGCAGCCTGGACACGCAGCCCACTCGGGGCCGTGAGAGCATCAGACCGCCGTCCTCAACCAGGGCCCTGCTTTCAGGCTCAGAGCGGGGAACCAGCCACTCCGTTAGGGCTTCTGCTATTACAAGACATCCCAGCCACGCGTCTGCCCAGAGGTGGTTCTGCTTAGAAGGCATACACATATCCATTTATAAACAAACAAATAAATCAATAAATAACTGTAAAAGAGAACAGGAAGGGAAAAAAAAAGAAAAATAAAATCTTTCCAGAAACTTGACCTCTCCCTGAGCATCCTCCCCTGAAACCCCGTGTTTTCACTTATACCACACTGAATCTATATTGACGCTGATATGTTTGCTTTGCTGGTTTTCATATTTTGTTTCTTTTTTTTTTTTTCCACTACTCACCCCGGGATAGCAAAGTCAAGAAAATATACCATCCTGATCAACAGGACACATCTGCAGTGAATCCACACAGAAGCAATTAATTTCCTGGTGCTATTTTTACACTGGGGGCCTGCACCAGGCCCCCATTATACAAACAAAAACTCCAGACAGCCCCTGCTGCCTGATAAAAAATAAATCAGATTGCAGAAGGACTGTTTGGCCCAGGACTGCTACAGGCGATGGCTTGTAATGAGGCGTCCCGACACTAATTATGAAGCTTATTAAAGACAATTGTCCAACTTGTTCTAAGTGTAACCTATAATCACTCTGAGGAAGGCAGACACCCAGAAGCAGCCGCTGGCGGCCCCTTGCTCTGCAGAGTGGACCATCATGAGGCATGGCCGGGGTGTGGCCCGCATCTCAGAAACGGTAGGATTATTTCTAGCGGACTGTTCAGGATAAATGTGTCGGACTAGGCAGGTGAAAACCACCACGGCTGGGCCATAAGTCACCCACCAGGACCTCCCTCCACTCAAACACCTGCTGGGGGAGGGTCCGGAGACCCGCCCAGGTAAACACATCACCCACACAGCCTTTTCCCCCGTTACTTAGTCTGAATCTTTCTCCAAGGTTGCAAAAGCAATATTTCAATGTACTCTTTCAGGAGGGGAAAGGGGGAAACGAAAAAGATTAATAAAGATGTTAGGAGGATGAAGTGCAGTGAGACTTGTTTAATTATTCCCGCTGGACGGCCCCAGCGATCTGCTGACACTTAGCCCCGACCTGGCAAATCCTCAGTAAATATTAATATATCAACTCAAACAGGGGCCGTTGTTTTATTGGTTCACGGAGCTGGGAGAGATTCGTCACAGCGGTGAAAAAGGGCTGTGCAGAGGGGAGGAGATGCGCGGCTTCGATTCCACCTTCTGCTCCACACATGAGCTGGGAGCAGCAGCAAACTGGCAAGGCCGCTGGGTCACCAGGACTGCAGAGCGACACTTCAGATGCCTTCGCTTCCCTTTGTGCAGCCTGCTGGAATCATCTCAAAACCACAGCGACAAGACACGAGAACGGGGGAGTGAGCACACGCGCAATCAAGCTTGATTATCTGCAAGGCTAGAGATTTTAATAATGCGGAGGTCCGCCCTGGGCTCCATCCGTGTTCCCGGGTATCCTGCTCCCCTGGACAAGGGCTCTAGGGAGGGGAACCCATCACTGCTGGGGTCGGTCTCAGGACTCGCGTCCACCTGCCCCCATCACCTCCTGCTGCACGCTGGGACCCAGGTCCACATAAGCCCACAGGCATGGCCCAGCATGGAAAAGGCCGGTTTTGATCAAGGGTTTGCTAAAGGAGAGAAAAAAAAAAGGAAAAAGTTGCCAGTTGCTTTTTTTAATCTGGTTGCTTTTTTATAATCTGTTATATGTGCTGGTTGGCGGTGATGGTATTTTTGGAGTTTCTCTTTCCCTTGCCTCAAATTCAGATAGCTGTTATTGACACATCCTCTCATAAATATTCCGAGATTCCTAATGGTTGGATGTTTGCCCTGGGCCCAGGAGGCCTCAGAAGTTCTCCGGTGTAAGAAAGGGGGCTGGTGGGGCCACATTTGGCTTTCAGACGTACTGTGCCGCAGAGTTAATGCGTGATTAATTTTATTCATAAAAATGTTAATCACTTCATTGTGAGATCTTCTTAGCATTCAGCACAGCCCGCACCTTTTTTAATTTCTGGTGCCCACCGTCTCACAGATGTATTTAATATTTTCAGACACTGCCACAGCGATCAGAGGACCCAGCAATTAAGCATACGTTTAAAATTCAGTAACAAGCCAGGGCACAACAGTGACAAACAAGCAAACAGGAAGAGGCAGGGAGGACCGCCTGCAAGTGACCAGCTCGCCTGGCTCCCGCCCTTAGCGGCCGCCCCGCCCGCCCCAGCCCTGGCCGGTCTGAGCCCTCCCCCGAGCGGAGGAACCCGGGTGGCATCATCCCTTCCGCAAGGGCAGCTTCAAGTAGAAGGAATTAAGAATAAAAGCCCTTCGGTTTAGAAAACGTAAACCGTCTCAGCGTTATTCCCACCGCCACAGGGGACCCTGGGGACGATGGGGCCCGTGGGGGGGAGGGGGTGTCTGGGTGCCCCACCCCCCATCCGGCCCCCTGGTGCAGCCGCGCCATTGTGCCCCGCATTGAGCCAGTGCTCTGGACGCTGGATAAATGGATTAGGGGATCAGAGACACCCGCGGCGTCTTCAGAAACCAAACAGCAGCCGCAGAAAGGGCTGCCCTTGCGCCCCGCCCGAGGAGGCGGGTGGGGGTGCTGGTGGGGGCGGGGAGGCTCCCTCGCTGGGCTGCAAGCCGCTGGCTCCCCTGCCTGCCGCTCAGGCCCCTCGCTTCCTAAGACCTCCCACTGAAGGCAGTTCCAGAATATTCGGCCACTCCCGGAGCCTCCGGGACCTCTGCCCCAGGGTGCCTCACAGGGGCCCTAGGCCCGCTCCTCTATGGAACACAGTGATAAATAAAGCAGTGTGAAGGCTGCTGGATCTTAAAGATGAATCTAAGGATCCTATCTGTTGACATGTTTTCCTCCACCGAAAAAAGAAACGCTTTTATTTGAAAAGGAAGTAAAATACTTCTGGGGGGCCCTCTAAAGCACTGTGCAGCCAGGTAGGTTAAGCCCTCTGACCCCCTGCACTGACCCCCAGAAGGGCCCGTGTTCAGACATCTGTTCTGAGAGGGAGAGGGGACACGTCCAGCTTCAGGAGCTGGGCCAGTGGTCCCCGGGGGAGAACCTTCTAAGGCCGGGCACCTGGGAGCTAAGACTAGGGCAGGGCCCTGGGCGGACCTGCAGCCTCCTGGCCCCAGCAGAGCCTCGAGCAGGTGGCTTTCCACATGGAGAGACCAGTCACCCCCCGGCCCCTGGGTGGGCGGCCCTGCCCAGAAGGCCCTTCCAGGGAGCACGGTTCCTTCCACGTGCACTCAGGGGACCCTCGAGGTGGCGGGCTGCAGTCACCACCCCAGGCTTCAACCTGCTCTACCTCCCACCTCTGCCCCCTGGCCACCCAACCCTGGACTCACCAACTGCCCGCCCCACCCAAACCTGGAGCCACATCCTGGGGGGAGGGGGGCGGTGGAGAGGTGAGGCAGGAGGCTCCCCGGGGCCTGGCACCTCATGGGCCACAAGGCGCAGGCCGCGTGCTCAGTGGCCGGTACCAGAGCCTCCTCTGTCTGGCTCTCGGGGGTCCCAGGAGGCCTGAGCGCCTGGCTGACTCGCATCATCCCCGCACTGGGGCCCCGGCGGTCCAGGCCCTGAGCAGAGAGCGCCAGAGGCCAGTCAGGCCTTCCAGGCCCCTGCCGTCTGTGCACCCCAACCCTGTGCCAAGCTGCCACCCAGGAACCCCCCCTGGCCTTGGCTTCCTTCGCACCCTTCCCCCACCTCCAGCTTGGATGCCCCAGGGGCAAAACCCTGCTCCCACCGGCGCACAGGTAGCCCCATCGCTTTCACCAGCACATCCAGCAGTCCCAGCCTGACCCTGCCTCGGCCACCGGGCAACCTCGGGCCTGCTGGCACGGGGAAGGGAAGGGAGCCCCAGGGCCAGGAGGACCAGAGAGAGGGCTGGGCTCAGGAGGGGCGTTCAGGCCTCCCAAGGCCCCTGGCGTCCGGGGAGACGACCAGCACCCACCCTGACCTCACTGTCTCCCGCCCCCCTCCTTCCCCGGCTTCCCAGCGTCCTGGCCGAGTCCCATCGACAAGGACAACTGAAACTTTATAGGGCATGATTCACCGGGTGGCGGCCTCTTGGAGTCACAGAGAGTATTACATTAATCAGTGTCAGGCCACTAAAACCAAGATATGAATATGAATTCTCCGTATCGCAGGCGAGATAAATGTGCTGGTGGTGAATATAATTGATCGGGGGGGTGGGGGAGGGAAGGGAGGGTGAGGGGAACGATCTCAGAGACCAGCAGGTCAGCGGTTCAGACACGGCTCGCACCCCACTCCCTGAGTCTTCAAACCAGGAATGGGGAGAGGGGGCTGATCTAGAAAAATCACGCCTGGGACCATCTCCCAACATCTCTGCGGCTCTGCAGCAGAGAGAGGAGGTCTCGGAACCAGATTTGTTCTTTCTTCTCTTCCCTCAAATAAGACCCAAGAAAGACAGAAATGCACTGTTTGGACTTGGGGGAGGTCCTTTCTATGGGGACCCCGGTGTCTGCGGAGGAGGGAGGCCAAGTCGCCAGCCTTCATCCAGGGAGTCCATCACCCTTACATGTTCAGGTTTGGTCTTCTCCTGATAAGACGACTGTCAGCCTGTGAAACTGTCCTGAGCAGTAGCGGGGGAAAGGCAGGAACGAGCGCCTCTGCACACACAGAAAGTTCCAGAAACACTTCCACTTCGGCTCTAAAGGGAAGGGGGTTTCTAGGTCCAGTCCCAGGTATTTCAGGGCCTCCCTGTGGGCACAGCACACCCTCAGCGAGTACTCTTAGGTGGCTGCGGGCGCTGGAGAGATGTAAACAAATAGCACACAAAGGACAAAAATGCCTTTCAACGCGAGATTAAAAATTCATGTCTAGCTCTTCACCGGAGGAAAAAAAATAACTGAGGCTGGCGATCTGATTTCTTTGCTGGGAGCTTTGGTCCCCAGGAGGGGAGCACAGACCCTTCACGACTTCTGGGCCATGGGGTTCTGACGCCTCAGAACCCCCTGGTGAGCACAGTGTGGCCAAGGGGTCCGAAGTGTATTGGAGAGAAATAAAGAATGGACACAGGGGTTGAAAGCAGAGACGCAGGCATGGACCAGCCTCTTTGATTGGGGGGGGGGGGGGAGCGGCTAGGGGTGAGAAGGGTGGAGCTGGGCCAGGTGCAGAGGGTTCCAGGGCCCACCCGAGTCCCACCTGCAGCCTCCCAGAGGCCTTGCCCAGCTGGAGAGCAAGCTGTCTGTGGGCTGGGAGCTCCAGTCCTCATCAGAGGGGCAGAGCATGCCTCCTCTAAGGTCCGTAGGTGCGCCCCCTCCCCAGACAGGATTGAATACCCTAGTTCCCAGAGGTCAAGGCGCGGGCCCAAGGCTCTGTCGGAAGGCTCTAGACTGAAAGCAGAGGGCCCCGCTGGCCCCTTAAGTCCTAGCAAGGAGGACAGGTCAGAACTCTGCGGACTGGCAAAAGCCCGAGGGGATTCCTGGCTCACCAACCCACCTCCCCCCCCAACTCCCTGCCAGCAGCCTACCCAGCAAGCCCAGCACTGCACCACCCCCACCAATTTCAAACAACCAGGTGGCACTCTAGAACAGAGAAAGCCCTCCATCATCATTCGAGCCTGGCGCCCACAGCAGAGCCGCAAAGCCAAGTACCCCCAGGATGGACACCTCCATCGGCCCCCCATCCCGCTCGCAGCCCATAGAGGGCGCCTCGAGCACGTCGGTTGGGACCGGACGCGGCTCCACCTCAGCGGCCCCTCGGCTCCGGCTCCGCGGCCTGGCTCCCGCAGCCCCCCACTCCCCACCCAGGCCCCCCACCCCCGCCCACCCCCCGCACGTGTGCTCGCCCCTTCGCGCTTCCTTCGGCCTGGGGGCGCGGCAGGAGCCTCTTCCTTTAGACAGCTGGGGGCGGGGTGGCTGTGGGGCGCTGGAGAAGGACGCAGGCGCTGGGCCCGGGGCCGGAGGGCCAGGGCTTTGAGCCCCCCCGCCCCGCCCGTTCTTCGCGGCGCCAGCGCCCCCGCCACCCCCGCACAGGAGTGGCACCCGGCCTGTTCTGTCCTGCAGCCGCGGTCCTCGCCGTGGAAAGCAGCCCGGTGACAGCGGGTCCCGGAGGGCGAATTTGGGGGCTGGGCTGGGGGCCAGGAACGTTCAGCCCGGCACCTCGGACTCAGCCCCATAGGGCCAGCTAACCCCGCGGCCTCCCTCCATACTCGCGGGCGGTTTTATAAACGTTTGCTTTCTCAGTGCTAACGAATTCAACGCCGAGTGTCCTGCACCTTCTGGAAGCGCAGGCTGGGCGCCCTGCTCCTAGCGCCCCAGTCCTGACGGCTGCGGCCCCCCCAGGCGCCCGGCCGGCTCTCACCCGCGCATCCAAGCTCAACCCGCTTTGTCTCCTACCATCACTGCGGCTGCGGCTGCCTCCGGAGCTCGGCGGCCATCTGGGCGATATTGGCTCCTGGGCTCCCTGGGTGTGCCCAGGGCAGGGCGCCTGAGTTTAAAGGGACGTCCCTGGGAGACCAAAGCCCGCTCCCCTCTTTGTCACTGCTCCCCACCCCCATTATAGCAGTCACCCCCGGCTCAAGCCCAGAGGACTACCTAGCTGCATCCCTGGCCTGCCAGCAGTGTTTAAAAAAAAAAAAAAACTTCCAATTTCTCCAAGTGTGATTTAGCCAAATAACTAAAAAATACACTGAAAGCAAAATTTCATACTCCATTATGTACTCGTTCTACCCACGAAATGCCCCGACGCCACAGTGAACCGCTCAGACAACTGGTTATAAATTGATTTCAAATACGAAGTTCTCCATTGGGGACAGGAATAAAATTCTTTTCATTCCCCCGCCCCATCGTTTCCCACTGAAAAAAAATCGTTTTGTAAACTGCCTAAAATCGAACTCATTTATGTCCTGAGAAAGGCATGCCCAGATAAATCTGTGAGTTGCAAGGAACTGAACTGCCAATGAAACTGCCCTGGTGACAACATTCACAAATTCAACAACAGCGGAAAGGCTGAGCAACACGGCCTTTGGGGGCGGAAACTCCCCAGGAGCCCCTTTCCCCAGCCAGGGGCAGTAAAAGCCCCCGCCAGGATTTTGGATTTCCCGGGTTGAGGACGCCCGCGGCGACGCCCAGCCACACACAGCAGCAGGAGCAGGGGCCATCATTTCGTTTAGTTTATTAGACAAAAATATATGATTTAGACAAGTTTGCTGACGCGCTATTTACAATCTGAAATCACTCTATATACAGGAAGGGGGGGAAAAAGACACAAGCACGTGGCGGGGACATATACCGAACCGATAGTCACCCAGAGCACGGTGACAGCCACCCCCAGCACAGGCCGGGCTGCCTGGATGCGGAGCTCGGGTCGGACGAGCCCCTTTCTGCAGAAAGCGATGGATGGGAGAGTCCTCGACTTCGTGGCCAGATCTGTCCTTTGCACCAGTCTCAAATATTTGTCTTAATTCCTCCCTCATCCCCTCCCTCCCGAAGATCTCCCCCCTCCCCCTCGGAGAAAGTCAGAGACGACCCTGGATCAGGCCGACGGGAGCGCTGCTAGAATCCGCGGCGTCCCTTCCTGCGTGGCCAGCGAGCTGCGGGGAGCGGGAAACAGCGAGACAAGAACACAGCGCTGTCAGTGGACGGAAGCTGGGACCCGGCAGGGGGACTCCGCCCGCCGAGCGCCCGGGGAGGCGGCGCGGGGTCGCGGCCCGGCGCGGCTCCCGGCTCGGGAGAAACCCAGGTGGACTCCGCCAGCTGGCCGGGGCGCCGCAGGGCTCCTGACCAGCGCGCGCGGTCTACGCGGGCTTCGAGACCCCGACCCTGCCCCCAACCCTCGCCCCCCGCCCGGCTGTAAAGGCCAACAGGCACTCACTTGTCGCGCACCGGCTGGAAGGGCGACTTCAGCTGCTGCGCAGGCGAGTCCGGTCTGGGGAGGAGGTCTCTCTCTGGGAGAAACGGGGAGACATCGAGCTGAGGACCCCGACGGGGGAGGGGCACCGCGGAGGAGCGCTGGGCCTCGCCCCCCCCCCTCCCCTGTAAAGTGCCTCCAGAAACACCCCCGCCCCCCCCCCCCCCCCGGGGCAGGCCAGCGGGGGAGCACGGCTCTCTCCGGGAGCCCAGGGCCTCAGCCTCGCTCCTCTACTACAGGCAGGACTCATGGCTCAACCCCAGCCCGGTGGCCACCCGGTCTCACCCTCCTGGGCAGTCAGCGCCCCCAGCCAAACCCCCTCCTGGCCAGCGATCTCCACGCCATCCTCCCGGGGCCAGGGGCCGGTGCTCCCCTCTACCCCAACACCACCAGGCCACTGATCCCCTCCATGCCATCCATCCTTCCTCCGGGCCGAGTACTCCCCTCTAACCCCCTCACCGGGCCACAGATCCCCTCTGCCACCCCACCCCTGAGCCAGTGCTGCCCTCCGCCCCCAGGCTGTCCCCGGTTCTCTGATTCCTGGCTTGGGGAGGGGCGGACGCCCCTGGGTGCCATACCTGGGAGCGAGGGACTGCTGCGGGCGGAGGCCTTGTCGCCGTGGAGCACCCCCGCGGCCACGGAGACGGGTGGCTGCGGCGGGGGCGGCGCGGACAGGTGCGGGCCGTGCGGCGCGCCCACGCCCAGGAAGGAGCGCACGTTGAGCAGCGAGCCCTGCGCGAGGAACGCGCCGTTGGTCCAGTTGGAGAACTTGCCGATGTGGCAGGTGTAGAGTCCGTGGCTGGGCAGGAAGGCGGGGTGCTGCAGCGGCGCGCCCGCCGGGGGCCCGTGCACGACGCCCGGGTGGCCGGAAGGCGGCGGCGGCGAGGCCTTGGGCGCACCGTCGGGGCTGGTGGCCGTCTCGGCCAGCGACCAGATCTTGGGCTTGCTGTTCGGCGCGCCCTGCAGGCCGCCGGCCGCCGCAGCGCCGGGGCTCAGCAGGCGCGTGCTGCCGGGCTCCGGGGGCTCCTTGGCCAGGCCCAGGGGCGAGTCTGGGGGCTTGAGCGCGTCGGCGGCCGCCAGCGGCGAGCCCTGGTCCCGCGCGAGGGCCGCAGGCGCGTCGGGCGCGCGCGGCGCCTCGGCTTTGTCCTCCTCGTCCTCGTTGCTCTGGTCGCCGTCGTGCTCGTCGATGTCGATGCTCTCCAGGTCGATCTCTTCGTCATCCTCGGCCTTCTCCGGGTCCCCCTCCGTGTCGCTTCCGAAGAGAGCGCCGTCTTCCTGGTCCTTGCTGCGCGCGCCCCACGTCACCTTGTTCTCCTTCTTGAGGCGCCGGCGCGCGTTGGCGAACCAGGTGGAGACCTGCGTGAGGGTCATCTTGGTGATGATGGCCAGCATGATCTTCTCGCCCTTGGTGGGGTAGGGGTTCTTGCGGTGCTCGTTGAGCCAGGCCTTGAGCGTGCTGGTGCTCTCCCGCGTGGCGTTCTTGGGCCGCCCGGGGTCTCCGTACTGGAACTGCCCATAGGGGTAGTAGGCGGGCGCCGTGTGGGCCGCGAAGGTGGCGGGGTGCACTCCGGGGTTGTCCTTGAGCTCATACTGTGAACCCTGCAGCCACAGGCCCAGCGAGGGAGGAGGGGGAAAGCGGAGAGAGAGAGAGACAGAGAGGTGAGCCCCGGAAACTGGGCGAGCCGGGGGCAGACAGTGCAGCCTGCTCTGGAGCAGGAAGCTGACCCTAATGCACCACCCGGGTTGGAAGAGGGGGTCGGACCACAAGCCGCCCCCAGAAGCGGCGCTTCCACCAATCACCGAGACTTCTTTTTTTTATTTTTGGTCATTCAAGAAAAGTTCCAGAATCCTCGAAATGTGCCCCGAGGACCACAGCGGGCGCCGGGGACCCTAGAATTTCCCTAGGCCGCCCTCCCTGCCCCCACCCCCACCTCCCATAACCCCTCCAGAAGCCCGGGTTTCCAAGTTTATCTCACACTCGCTCGAGGGGAAAACCTTTTAACTGGGCTGATAAAAGTTTCTCCAAACTCGGAGGACCGAGAGCCCAGCCCCGCCCCCCCCCCACTTCGACCCTGAGGGGGTCAAACAAAATAAACCGTCCCGGGTTTCTGAAAATCCAAATCCGCCAGCAATTTAAAATGAAAGCAAGCTCCTTTTAGCTCCCAAGTTAAATCTGCATAGAATGGCTCACCCGCACTTAAAGGTCCATAGTGGGTGACAAGCAATTTAAAATTTTAATCCTGGCCGTGATCGACAATAACAAAAACACCGTTTGTTTTTTTAAAATACAAAAAGAGGGGTTATCCGGTAAAACATTAACGCGAGGCCTCGAGCGCCGGCTGCGAGAAGCAGAACCGCTTCCGCGGCCCCTTCTCAGGGACTTTATCTCTCAAGTTTGACTTTGATCAGGAGCTAGCAAGCACAAACTGTTTGCAGGCATTTAGAGGCGGTGATTTATTTGCAATCAATATTCTTTTTATCATCGGTAGTAAAACACAGCAAGTCAAATTATCCCATCAGGTTTTTTGGTAAATAACATTTTATCTTTCTAACAACCTCATTAGGCCTCATTATTACCATAAATTGCCCAGACAGACATTCACTCACAATTTTATCTTTTGACTTCCAAATCCCCGACCGTAAGGGCTTGGAAAACCTAGGCCTAGAATTTGAGTTTGGATTTAGGCTTTCTTTCCAAGAAGGAACAGGGGTCCAGGAGGAAACACGCGCACACACTCACACATGCCTTTGTGAGTGGAGGGGGGTGGATTTCGATATAATTTGCCGTTAAAAAAAAAATAAGCATCTGTTTCCAACCACAATACAATGGTAGAGGGTCCTCACTGCAGGGCCCCCACCCTCATGCACAAACACAGGCAGGTTTCCCAAATAGCACATAACTGTATTCAAATTTTCTGTTAAAAAAAAATATATATATATATACACATATATATCCTCCATGTAAAAACTGTCGAGTTGTGTTAGCAGAGGGGGACCTCCGACTCTGAGAAAGTTGCAAAAAGCAGATTTCTTGGACTATTTAGTTCGGTGGTCGAAGCCACGCAGACGACGTTTCTCTGCCCAGATTTCGTTTTCTGCCTAATCTCTGCAAAACGTCCTTTGCACGTTTCTAATTATTTTGCTTGTAACTGTAAGGAAGACATTTCGGCCTCCTCTCTGCTGGGAATTCTCTTTGAAAGGATACCTTGTAAATCTCTCATCGCTTCCCCGGCATCCCCGCCACCAGAACAAAATGGGAGCTGATCTTTTTCCAGAGCAACCGAACTAAACGGCAGCTGGGGTCGCTTTCAGAGAAATAGGCTTTCTTTTCAAAACTACAAGAAAAGTTCCAGCAAAACACGCCGGCCGCCTTGCTCCTGTACAGTTTGCCGGGTGTTTATTTTCTGTCTCTTCTTCGCGGAGTGGGGAGACCTGCGCGGGGGAGGGGGTGCCTGCAAATTGCCTGACCCCGCGGGCAGCAGCGCAGGAGGGGGCTGCCTCCCCGACCCCTGCGCTCGGCGTGCAGCCCTCAGCAGTCCGAAGTTGAAACTAGACTTCGCAGGCAGACCTTAGAGAAATGGATCCCTTAGACCAACGGCCCTGCGGAGCATTCAATCTGCAGCACACTCCACACCCCACCCCCCACATCTGACACCCACTGGGACAGGAGGCTAAAAGGACAGCATTTATTTTAAGCCCAGGGACACAGCTCTTTTTAATCCTCCATTACATAACGCAAGAAGAAAACTGCTTTTCTTTTCGGTGCAAATGAAATGAAAACTTTGACAACTTACGGAAGTCAAAGCAAACACCGTTTCAGACGCCAACAATTATTTCGCCTTTTTTTTTTTAAATTTCAAATGTGCACTCAGGCCTTGGAGACCCCACTGCCCGCCGATCTCCATTGTTAGCCTTACTCTGACCGCCTCTATTTCGCTTTAAAAGGTTCCCTCGGGTGCACGGGTTGCAACCGCACGAGTTCTGCCCAAGAGGGAGAAAATCGAGTCTCCCGGCCCAGCCCCAAAGCTGAAAAGGTCGCGCAGCGCGGTCCGCGGCCCGGGAAGGGGCGGCCGGGTAAATGGGGCCAAGCCGCCCCGCCTGAAACCCGCCCGCCTGCCCCACCTCCGCCACCGAATCGGGGGCGTCGAGCACGAGTTTGTCCCGACCTTCGGCGCGGGCCGCTGGCCCCGGGCCTCCTCGGTGGGCCTCCCGACTCCCACCCGGAACCCCCGCGCGGTCCAGGCCTCCCATCTCCCCGCTTCCCAAGGCCCACGGGCCGGGCCGTTACCGGGCTGGCCTCTCGGCGCTCCCCGCCGCCTCCGCCCCGCCGGACTGGGGCCCCCGCGCCCTTGGCCCGAGCGCCCGGATCACGCCGCCGGAGGGCAGCGCGTGAGAGCGGGCCGGGCGCACTCACCATCTGCGTGAAGAGGCTGAGGTCGGCGGCGTAGGGCAGAAAGGCGCTGTAGTTGGGCGCGCCCGCGTAGGGGCCGGCCGCCGCGTACATGCCCAGCACCGAGGTGACCGCGGCCGCCCCCGCTCCCGCGCCCAACTCCGCCGCCCCCGGCCGGCCCGACGAGGCGGCTGCCGCGGCGGCGGCGGCGGCTGCAGCCAGCACCCCCGGGCGCTCGCCGCCGTAGGCGCCGGGCCCCGCGGCGCTCAGGTACTGCGGGTAGCCCAGCTGCGGAAAGGACATGTCCGCGGAGTCGGCGGCGGCGGCGGCGGGCAAGTATCAAAGGGGCGGGGGAGGCAGGCGCGGGGCTGGGGGGAGGCTGCGGTGGGGGGGGCGGGGGGGCGGTGGGCAGCGGGCCGCCGGCCGGGCGCGCTCGGGCCGGCCCGGAGGCGGGGGCCGGTGGCTGCTCCTAGGCCCGGTGCTCGCTGGCGCCCGGCTCCCGGCTGCGCCCGGCTCCGCGATCGCGCGCCGACTGCGGCGGCCGCCCTCCGCTCGGCGGCGCGGCTTTCAGACACAATTTGAAGTTGATGCTTTGATTGGCATCCCCTTGAGCTCTGGCCCCGCCCCCGGCTCCCCGCCCGCCCCCTCCCCGCCACCCGCCCTCGCCGGCCGCTCCCGCCCCTCCCGCCGAGCACGTGGTGCCCCGAGCCGGCCGGGCCACCTCCGCCCGCCGAGCGCCCGGGCGGCCGGTGCGGCCCGTAGGCCGCGTCCCGACCGGCCCGCCCGGCCGTCTGACAACCTGTCGACGCGGGTTTACAACTGGCGGACACCGGGGTCTGCCGTTTCGCAGCCCGGGCGCGTCTTGCTTGCTCACAAAACACTACCTCGGCGCCTGCTTTCCCACCGTTGGGGAGGCAGGGAAGGGGCGGGCGGAGGCGCGGTGCCAGCCGGTGCGGAGCGCCCTCTCCTCCGAGCTCCGGGCTCCTCCTCGGCCGTCCCCCTGGGACCTCTTTTGGCAGAAGTGCCCTTAAACCAGCGCGGCGTGGCACCCCGAGGCAGGCAGGGTGTCCCCCTGCGCCCCCCCGCCCCACCAGGGATTAACGGGGCATCCCTCTGGCAAGGGCTGGCTCGCTGCACTCGGAAAGGCGGGCAGCCGCCGAGCACCGCGAGCTTTTCCAGCCGTTTGAACTTTAAGAAAGGCCACCGGCTGGGAAGGTTGGAGGAAGCTAATGGCCTGTTCTTTGGGGGAGGAGGGAAGGTACCTTTTCTTTGCGGAGAAAGCGCCACCACGGCGGGAGAGACACACGCCGCCCCCGCCATGGCGACAGGAGGGGCCAGCGTGGCCTGGACACCCCTCGTTTGTCCACTAGGCGAGCAGACGCTGGAAGTCAGCTTGTGCGCAGCGCGCCGGCCCGAGGCGGCGCCGCGAGGAGCCTGGGGACGGGGCGTTAGGCTCCCGCCGCCCTCGCCCTTTCTGTCCTCCGCCCGCCCGCCCGCCGGCAGAGCCGAGAGCGACACGGCAGGGCACCGCGTGCGCTCGGGAGGGCGGATCTGGGGTGCCTGGGGTCTGGTGGGGCTGGGGCGCAGACGCCCAGAATGCTCGGTCCTCCTGGCCTCCCTGCCTGCGCCTTGGACCACGCTCGGGCAGGCCGCTCCTGCGCGGCCCTTGTGGATTGGCCCTGGAAGCTGGGTGGGCTGCGCGCCCCCCGGGGACCCGCCTGGACTTCCTCTCCTAAGCTGCGGCCAGAGCCCGGCGAGTACTGCTTGCAGCGGCATTCCGGCACGCAGAGCCGTGCAGGGGTGGCATCCACGGACCTGGTGTCCAGCTCGCTTTGGGCCCGTTGGAGACCATGGAACTGAGGCCACGTCCCCAGCGTGCTGCGCGTCTGTGTCTGTGGACACCTAAGCATCCACCTCCAGCCTCTAACCCCCTCTTCCAGCTGCCAGGAACTTTCCAGGCCCAGGGACTTTGGAAGCATCAGGAGACATTCGGTTTCCCCAGCTGGGGACCGGAGGACAGAGCCAGCGCCTATAATTAGCCGCAATAACGCCCATAATAGTAATTACTAATTACCAGCTGTGTAACCAGCCTTTATTTTCTGTGTTCAGAGTCAGATTTTCTTCCTGGTCATGCTCTCATCTCCTCCCCTTTTCTCCACCCCCAACTTCACCCCCACTAACCAGCCCCTCTTACCCACAGCAACTGCTAGGACTCCTTTCCTGCGGTGACAGCTTCTGAGGGTGGGAGGACAGCGGGCAAGTGGCGCTCCTGCTCTGGGAAGCCCCTGACCACAGCTTCCTCCTGTCCCCCAGCCCCCCAGCCCACACTCCCCAACCCCCTCTTGCCAACACCCAGAACAAACCAGTGGGCCTTGGCCGCTGTCCTCTTTAGCAAACTCCAGGGTCACGTTTCAGGGTGACAGGTAAACAGGTAAGATAAGGCCTCTTGTGAGACCTGAAGAACCAGATGGAATGTAAGCCCAGACAAACCCCCCAGGTGTCAAGATTGAGCCACAGGATGAATCACCTTCTTCTCAGCCCTACCTGCAGCCGTGTGAGCCCATCACACCACAGCCATCCCAGCCTGGGGAAGGTGGAGGAAGCCAGGACAGCCTTGTCCTGACCCCCGAGTGGCCCAGCAACGCCACTCTCCGCGCTCTGGCTGTATCTGCATCACCTCTCTGGTCCTGGAGCGATTTAGCTTCCTGAATGCACCTGGGGGGTGAGTGGGAAGGGCCCACCAGAAATGGTGCCTGGGAATAAGGTAGTTCCGGGGGAACTGGTACTTAGAAGGCCTGTGGACTTGCCCCCAGGGAGCCCTGACAAGGTGCCTGAGGGTGCCTATAGGCCTCCCCAAGGGCCAGGCACAGGATCCTAATGGAGTCTGGCAACCACTCCTTCCCTTCTTTCTCCTAGGTACCAGGGAGCCCCAAAACTTGCACGTGGAAAACTTGGAAGCAAGGTACACAAAAAAAAAATTAAAAAAGGAATTAAGAAATCTGTCCGATCATCAAGGGGGGAGCAGAGAAAGATCTAGAACTTCCTGGCTCAGTGTCTTGCCACTGGCCCTCTACTCACTTTTAACGTCAAGTGGTGAAGTAGAGCCCAGGAAGGCCCATGGTGCATGAGGCAGGAGAGTGGCCCTCTGCCCAAAACCTCCTTGGGGCTGACTTGACTAGGTGCTAATGGATCCAGAACTTTCCCCAAGAGGCCAGCCCAGCTCAGCAGCTCAGCTCTTCCAACATCCAGGCCATCCACAGGACGACCCTGGTCCTGCATCAGAGGCTGGGTTTGGGGGGTGTGGGCAGTGGGGCTCCAGCTGTTCCGCCCTTGGAAACCACAGCTCCCACCCCGGCTGCTCTGTGCCTGAGAACGGGGAGAGCCCCGCTTCACAGAACTTCAGCCACCATCGCTGCCTCCCCTGGGGTGGCTCGGGCAGGCCGCATGCCTGGTGCAGGAGCCCCATGGGACTGGGCCTTCCCCTAGCCGGTCGGCGACGGGTCTGCCCTGAGCCAGAGACAGAGCCTGGGAGCCCTGCAAAGCCGGGCCTAGGGGTCGCTGCGAGGTCGAATCGGAGCTCTGGCAGACTGGATCCGGGAGCCCTGCATTCAGTAAGGACCCCCACTCCCTCAGGGACCTGAGGCGTTTAGCCTCCATCACCCCGCAGAGGTCCCTTTGGCTGGAAAGCCCGGACTCTTGGCGCCCCTCACGGCTAAGACGTGAGCCTCGGGAGGCACCCACGCGTGTGCAGGGCCTGCGAGTGCAGACGCGGCTCGGGAGGGAGGTGACTCTGGTGGGCGGGGAGAAAGGTTCCCAGGCCGCCTACCGGGAGGGGGCGGGCCTGTGTGATGGGTGAACAATGCGCGTTTGAACCAACTAGGTGTAAAGTTCATTTGCTCCGTTTCACTGGGGGGGCGGGGGGGAGGGTAGGAGCGGGTTTTCTAACGGGAGGGAATTGCTATCACCCACCTGAAGCATATCTTGGGCTCTTCTTTCCCCAGACCCCCATAAAAGTTCCTACAGTTCCCTTCCCTACCCTTGCCCACCGCACCCTCTGTTTACATAAAAATGAGATTAAGTCAACCAAAAGGCATCCTCATTTACAATTGTATTCCCTCGGAAATAAACCTCCAGCTTTGCGGACCCAGGCCTCTGAGACACAGGAGGAAGCTACCAGGGACCCAGTCCAATCCCCGAGCCCTCACGGACATGCCTTTGTTGCCAAGGCTGGAGCCACTTAGACCGACTAGGGCACAGCGGGCGGTGCTTCGGCCTCATCCGCCTGGCTTTCCAAATGGCCCGTATTTGATTTGCAGATACCAGGGCTGCCTCGCGGGGCCGCAGCTCGGATCGGAGGCCGGCACCCTGCCCCAAAGCTTGGACCCTGATGGGTGAAACCCTGGTCAATACTTAGGACCTTTCTCCAGCAGGACCCAGGCAGAAAGCCACCCCCGCTCAGCGAAAGCGAGGCGAGTGTCACAGTTCCCGGGCAGCCGAGACCCTCTCAGGAGCGTCCAGCTCTCATCCTGGAGCCCAAGGGTTCCAAACCGGAGCCAGCCCGGTTGGTCGGGCTACGGTGATTCCGCTGTCCCCTCGACCTGGACCCCTCGTGGCCGGGCCTGCGCGCTCCGGCGACTCCAAGCCCAGACCCACGCGGAGCCCGACCGAAGGTTAGCCCTGGTGCCTCCCGGCCTAGAGGAGCACCCAGCAAACGTCCTGAGCGCGGGACGGCGGAGCTCCCGCGGCGAGACGTGAGCGCCTGCCTCGGCACGACAAGCCCAGTGGGGCCGGCGGAGGAGATGCCAGAAAAACCCGGGGAGAAAAATCGCCTTGCAGCAAGGGCCGTGGGACGGCCAGATGCTCCGGGCCAAGCCCCGCACGAACGTAGGGCGCGTTTATGGATTGAGGGGAACGTGCGCCCCGGGCGCCGCGAGCCTCCTGAGCCGGCCTCCGTTTCCCCGGGTGGAGACACGGACCACAGGGGCCCGGCCTGGAGTGTCGGAGGAAGCGAATTACATGCGTGTGCGCACATGTCAATATTTTATAAACCTCCCCTTTAATTAACCAGATCATTTCCATTATGCCTCCAACCCCATCCACCGCACCGGTGTGAGGGTTTGCAGGGTTTATAATTTGATGCCACCAGACGGTTGCTTGGGGGCAGAGGTGTGATCGCCCGCGCCAGCTGCACTTGTATTTATTTGTTTTTCTCCCGTGTTCCTGTAGGGCGCCATTATGCAGTTTTTAATTAGTTTGTGTTTGTAGTTCACCCGTCCCAAATCAATGCCATCCCGGAGCATGGCGATGTAAATTCTCGCAGTACAGGTGTAGCTGCCTGCTCAGGAACACGGGGAAGCGCGTGTCTGACAAATGAAAGCTGGGCCGACTGTCAGCTCTCGGCAGCCAAGAGGCGCAGATCAAAGCCTTCGGGGACTCCTGAGCCCCCCGAGCGCCTCAATGGCGGCGGCTCCTGATGCTATTAGAGGGAGAGTCGGGTGCAGCTCGGTGTGGGGGATAAAGTGACTTTTCCTTTTGCTGGAATTCTGGGCTCCTTGGGCCAGCGCCGGCCTCCTGCGCGCCCTGGCCGTGGGGCCTGGTGGGCGCCGGGGACCCTGCGTCAGGCTGGCGCCCCGGATGCCCGGCTGTGGGCGCGCGTGCAGGGACCCAGCGCTGGAGAAAGGTCATTGCCACTTCCCGCGGGGTTCCGCAGCCCTTTCATAGAACCGGAGGCCAACAGCCAGGACTTTGGGAATCCCCAGAGGGGAGAATCCCCACCCCCACCCCCAGCTCCTGCTCCTTTCTCTTCGTTTCTCTTCTTGAAATGACCTCTGTGCAATGAGTGTGAATTATTCTTCCCAGCCACCAGGGAATTCTTTCCAAGATTTTTTTTTTTTTTTTTTTGGATCAGGAATAAGAGATTGTTCATCTTTAACTAGACCACATAGAAATTATGATTCAACAGCAGTGTGTATTTAATTAGAGTAATCTCACTTGAATTTAATTACCCAATGAATTATTTGTTTAAAAGGTAGAACGTCTTGTTTGCCAAGTGCCGTGCAGACCTCTGATAAGAACTTGTGTTATAAGGACATTACAGCATAAAGCAGCCATGTAGGAAGGTTTGCGTTTTAACTCTTTGCGTGTGTAATGGTTTCTGTAGCGCTCAGAGCACACACTGTGATCATCTCCGGAAGGCGGAGGGGAAGGCAGAGGCTCCTGTTAGCCAAGCAAAGGCTTAGTTCTGTTATGCAGGCAGGGCCCCTTCGAAATTAATATCCTCCAACCCCTTTCCTCACACACATCTATTTTTAAATGTATTTCATTTTCTAACAGTCTTTGTGTGTGTGTGTGTGTGTGTGTGTGTGTGTGTGTGTGTGTGTGTGCCAGATGACAGCTGCCTATTATGACTCACTTTATGATCATATTTGTAATGAAGCGGTGTGTCTCCTTCAAGAAAACTCCAGCCCAGCTGCTCTGAGCGCCTGATCCTCCTAGTGGCACGAAGGCTTTCTGAGGTAATCAAATGTTAGAGGATGGGAAGCTACAGACTGTGATCTTAACCCCTAATTCCTAAATAATGGAAGGATTTCATCCCGTCTCGTTTTGCAAGAGCAGATAACTCCAAGCCCTGCTACCCTTGCTGATGGGTTCTGAAGGGGATGTGTCTCCAGCTGAACATATATGAAATCCACCTGGTTGAATTCCACTGTTATTTTCATTCATGGCTCATTAACCAAATATTTAACTGCAGATTTGGGCACTATTATTACATAAAT